GCACGGGGAGATGCAGTTAAGTCGGCAGAGCACCTGCCTGGCATGCACGGGGAGATGCAGCTAAGTCGGCAGAGCAATTGCCTGGCACACAGGTGTTGGTTTCAATTCTCAGCATTCCTGGAAGAGGATGGGATGGCACATCTGTAAGCCCAAGCACTTGGAAGGTGAAGGCGGGAGTACCAGAAATCAAGGTCACCCAGTAAGTTAGAAAACAGCCTGGGATACAGAAGACCTCATCTCAAACAAACCAACGTGAACAAAAGGACCAGGAGATAGTAAATGCAGGCCAATGAGGTGATCAGCGGGTTACCATGTCTACTGCCAAGGCTGACAACTTCAGTGCCTTTCCCAGAACCCATGAGGTGGAATGAGAGGAATGATTCCTGCGAGAACACACACACACACACACACACACACACACACACACACACTCAAGTGAATGTGCTAGGAATGAAAGTTTTAAAGAGATAGTGTATACTTTAATCCGAGGCAAGCTCCCAGAAAGACAGACCAGGAGGAAGAGGGCAATAGCACATTCCCAGGGCATGGGCCAGGCTGCTCAAGACATTTGTAGCTTAAGTGTTTGGTTGGTTGGTTTTGGTTTTTTGAGACAGGGTTTTTCTGTGTAGCCCTGGCTGTCCTGAAACTCCTCTATAGACCAGGCTGGCCTCCATCTCAGAGACACACCCGCCTCTGTCTGATGGGGGCTGGGATTAAAGGCGTGCACCACCAAGTGTTTTAAGGGTAGCTACCCACATGATTTTGTGGCTTGTAAAGTTCCACTGCCTGGAAGCTGCTATCGACAGCTGAATTCAAAGTAAGGCACAACTTTAAAACCAAGTGCAGAACCATGATTTACTTATTTCTCTTCTCTTAAAGAATTTCCTTTTTAAATGAAGTTGTAAAGTGATATTGTGAGGTGCCTTACTGGGGTTAGGGCTGGGAGAAGAATGCTGTAACAGTTAGATTCAAAGGTCACAGACAGCCTGGCTCTGCATAAGTGGAATCCATCCATTACTGTAAACACTCTGTGTGAGACATCACTTGGAGAAGGGAAGGCTGTTTCTCCAGGAGATCTCAATTTTGTTAAAATGATTGACTCTATGCATCCATTGGGAAGCACGAACTATTACAGGTCCGAGAGTGAGGGAATTTGTTCCCTTCTTCTTTAAATTTTCCCTGCACTTCTATCACGTCTCAAGGTTGGTGGGGAGGCCTACAATCCTGGAACAAGGCCGGCGGAGGCTGCAGGATTGCAAACAGAAGTACGGTCTCTGGGACGCTGTGTCAGGAAACAGGGAGACTGGTGCAGGAGAAGTGGATGAGCATTAAGGGATGTACCAAGGTTCCCACACGGTTATGATTCCTGGTTTTTACACAGGTGACCCCAGTTTGGCTTCCAGTGTAGGAACACAAGGTCTTTGGCTGTCTATAGTGGGGACACTCAGGAGGCAGAAGTAGAAAGGTCTCTGTGAGTTGCAGGCCAGCCTGGTCTACACAGAAAAACTGTCTCAAAATATAAACAAGAACAAAACCCCCTAAAAACTTAAAACAATGAAAAAACTGGGTGTGGTAGTTCACACCTTTAATCCCAACACTCAAGAGGCAGAGATTTCAGTGAGTTTAAGGCCAGCCTGGTCTACATTGTGAGTTCTAGGACAGCCAGGGCTGTTATACCAAGAAACCCTGTCTCAAAACCGCCCCACGCCCTCCCCCCCAAATCCACACCTTCACAAACCTCTCTATTTGTGAGAGTAGGAATGTAGTGTGTTCTTCATAGAGGAAGTAAAATTTACAACTGTTAATGGCATGGCGTAGCTTTTAGATAAGTGCACTGTTTTTCCTGTTGCTGTTGGCAGCGGGAGACAGAGCCCTACATGGCAGGTGTGTGTAGCCTGAGGCGTTTTACTCTGATAGAGCTAGATTTACACTGCAGACAAGAGTTTCAAGATGGGTCAGTAGAAAGCAGAGTTGGGGCACATTAAAGTGTTAATGTGCACTGGTTTCTCAGGACGGGGAACTAAATATCTTAACAATTGCTGCACATGATTTTTGTGGTTTTTGAAGTTACATTGCTCCATGGATGTAATTTACAGCCATGTCCAAATATTATTCAAAGTTTTGCAAGTATGTATGAGCCAGGTGTTGAAGCATATCCCTTTAATCTCAGACAGAGGCAGGCAGATCTCTGGGAGCTCAAGGCCAGTTTAGTCTACAAAGCAAGTTCCAGGACAGTCAGAGCTCAACAGAGAAACTCTGTCTCTTTTTCTCCAGGAAAAAGAAAAATGTGTGTGTGTGTGTGTGTGTGTGTGTGTGTGTGTGTGTGTGTGTAAATTGGACTTGGGAGTGGAACACACCTGTAATTCCAGCTCTGGGAAGGCTAAGGCAGGAGAAGGGTCATTGTGAGTTCTGTCTAATTTAGGCTATGTAGCAAGACCTATTTCAAAAAACAAAACAAAGGGGTTGAAGAGATGGCTTAGCAGTTAAGAGCACTTACTGCTCTTGCAGAGGACCTGGTTCAATTCTCAGAACCAACATGGTGGCTTGCAACCATCTCTAACTCCAGTTCTGGGGGTCTCACGCTATGGGTAGAACATGCACATGGCGCACAGGCATGCATGCTGGCGAGACACTTATACACACAAGATGAAAATAAATAAACCTTTAAAAGGAAAACAAAAAAAATTGAAGAAAACCTAATTTAAAAAATATAAACTAGTCTACCTATTCTTAAAACATTCTCTTTTGTAAACGAAATTGAATGGTGGTTTATGAAGGTCACTGCCCAGGTTTACATGGAGAGAGGCGTTCCAATGAGGTTAAACTCAAAGGTCAAGCATCTTTTTTGCCTTGATGCTATTTTAATGCTCTTGTCTTGTTTGAGATACCTCTTAGGAAAAGATAAGTATTGTGTCCGTGTAGGCAATATGCCCTATTTTTTTCTTTCTTCCCCCAGCTTGTGTCCAAATTCATGACTCTCAGTCAGCAAGAAACACAAGCTATCCCCGAGGTCAAGGACTTTCCTTACCCTTTAATTTCCCCCTGTCTACCCTGACATACTCTGGCCTGAGATGAATCCCAGAAGACTTGAAAAATCATTGTGGTGTACCGTCCACTCACGATGGTCACCTAAGAAGGTC